AGGATGGCCAGGCTATGCTGTGGGACCTCAATGAAGGCAAGCATCTCTACACTTTAGATGGTGGTGACATCATCAATGCCCTGTGCTTCAGTCCTAACCGCTACTGGCTCTGTGCTGCCACAGGTCCCAGTATCAAGATTTGGGTGAGTTTGGACTTGGGAGTCGGCCTGAGTACCTGGCTACTCTAGAGCCCTGCCAGTGTTGTGATTTCTCAATACAGGACATCTTTGGGTTGGTAGGGTCCAGTGTAGGGAAAACTCCTACTTGGATTTTACATTTGGGTGATTGTTAAACAGTAATGGATTTTGGAAAATTAGGTGAGCTTTTTCAGGAGTTTAAGGAGTACAGTTTGGATATTGATACCCATTTGGAGGGGCTGCTTTTGACTGCTAAAAATATGAGACAGTGGATATGATTTCTAGAGACTAAGGAAATATGGGTTTGTGATGGTGGGAAAGACCTAGCTGTTTGTTAATATCTCTTCCAGTGGGAACTGACTTGTAGCTGACATAGCAAGGTATAAGCAACAGCTACGAAGCAAGTTAAATTTTGGGCTGGGAAATCTTTGAGGAAATTATTAGTGTTTAGTTTTCACCTGTGGAGTCCACAGCCATTAGGTGGCTAGTAGCAGACCCCCTTCTCTCCCCTCTACCATCAGGTTGTGACTTAGTAAGGCACTATTGGATGTACTAATTCCTAATCAATCTATGCTGAGCAAATTTTCTGAGATGGTACACTCTGAGGAGGAGGAGGAGATCAGAATTATAGGGAGACTCATTGATAGTTTGTGCATTATGTAGACAATACTACCTTGCTATAAAAGTGAGGACTTGAAGCACTTGTTGGAGAACAAGGAATGTAGCCTTTCGTATGGATTGCATCTCAATGTCAGGAAAACAGATTTTTTTACCACTGGACTGAATAGGCAGCATCATGGATGGAGAGGAAATTGAAATTGTCCATAGCGTCATCTTGCTTGGATCCACAATTAACACCCTTGGTACCAGCAGTCAGGAAATGAGGAGTCACATTGCACTGGGAAAATGTGCAGTTACAGACCTCTCCTAATTATTGAGGAGTGATGATGTCAGTTTGAAGACTTAAGGTGTGTCTGATTGAGGCCATGGATAAGGATGGCAGAAAAAGAGCTGATGCCTTTAGCTGTGGTGTTGGAGACCACCACTGAACATCCCATGGATGACCAAGAGAACAAAGAGATGTGTCTTGGTGAAGTTGAAACCAGAATGTTCTCTGGAGGCAAGAAATAAGAGGCTTTGCCTCACATACTTTGGGCATGTTGCTAGGAGGGGCTGTTCCTTGGACAAGGGTTAGGGTTAACACTACTATAATACTCCACCAAAAACCTCAGTGCCTTTTAATTGGCACCAAATTATAGCTGACCTTTTATTAGGTTTTCTTAAGGCTGTAAGTCACTGGGGAGCAATGTCCATCTTTTTCCTGAGGAGCCACTGGTCAAACTACTGGAAAAATGTAATCTTTAAATTAGCCACACAGTTGTCTACAGACTAGAGCTAATCAAAGATGTTTCCCCAGGTTGCCAGTCAAGGTGTATTCCTGTTTGACTAGTTAAAGGGAGCTATTGAAAGCACACCTCTTGTTGAGAGCATTTTAATTGGCATTAGAGACAAATCAATGATATTGTTTATAGTCATACTGTTGATGGGGTTTTTTTTGTCTTTGCCCTGTTTTTTAGGACTTGGAGGGCAAGATCATTGTAGATGAACTGAAGCAAGAAGTTATCAGCAACAGCAGCAAAGCTGAACCACCCCAGTGCACCTCTCTGGCCTGGTCTGCTGATGGCCAGGTAAGTGAATTTTTCAAATGGTTCCAGCTTTATCTCTTAGGCCACTCTGACAGTTCAGCATCATATTTTTAAAAATATTAGCTGTGCTTATTTCAGAAGACTTGTTAGACTTGTGAATGCAGTGTACGCTTCTGCACTTGAACAATCTGTAAGGTTGACTAAATTATGAATGAGAATTATTGCAGTGACCCCAATTATATAGTCTGTTAAAGGGGCCATCTTTGCTGACTAGTGGCTTCTATCTGATCTAATCAGACATAATGTATCCTTTCTTGCAGACTCTGTTTGCTGGCTACACAGACAATCTGGTGCGAGTGTGGCAAGTGACCATTGGCACTCGGTAGAAATTTATGGCACCACTTTGGAAATAAAAAGTTTGGCTTAAGAAGATCTTTATGGAGTGTCTTTTCTCATAAGTAAAACCAACACCACTTCAAGTGCTGCTTGTCACCTCTTACACAATGCTGCTGCGTTGATCTTGACTGTTCATCACATATCCAAGGCTATAAATCACAATAGCAGGCTGCCTGTCATTCTCCCTCTAAGCTGCAGTTTCTCCTCAGAGTTGAGGAACAATAGCTGACCCTGCAGGGGGTTTTCAGAAGTAGTAAATCATAATACTGCCTTGCATCTGATGGATCAATATTTTGTGTCTTCTTGGGCTAGCAGCACAACTTAAAAGCCTCTAGAGCTCATTAGGAGCATAAGCACTGAATAAGTAAAACTTAAAACTGCTGCCAATTCCTCTGTGCTCTTACTGCATAAATGGGAGGAACACTGATGAAGTAAACAGAATAGGGCAAACATCAGAGTAAATGGTGGGGTTTAACTACTGCACCACCAGGGCAGGAGACAAGTACATGTGTTCTGGTGCAAGAAACAATGTAACTCATCCACAAGCTGCCATTAACCAGGTAAAGCACTATCTCAAGTTTTGTGGCATCTTTATAGGGTTAGTTTTTCTGATGGAATCATGCCTGGCATTTGTGTTTCAGCCCACCTAAATAAATACATTCCACAGAAGCAAATAAACATTTATTCATATCCACAACACAACCCACCTGTCCCTTTCTCCAAAACAAATTGTCCCCAGCCATTGGGACAGAGGACAAAAGCTGGTGATAAAAGGGAAGGGGGCTACTAGAAAAATAGATTATACCCAAGTTTCTTGGTAGGGATCCCAACCCAAGTCCCCCATCAGGACTTGTTAAATGGAACTAAAGGCTTCAGCTGTGTAAGCAGCTCCACTGAATAGATGGGAAGGAACCTGGAGGGATGGGAGTAGGATGAACTTTACTCCTACACTGAGTTGCTTGGGGCTTTGGGGTGGGGGGGGGAAGAGCAAATAATTTTATTGGGTGGTGTAATTGGTATGTAGATTCAGTCATGTTGACCGCTCGATCTCACTGAAAAATTCTGGCCGGTCTATGGAGGTAGAAATAGGGGAAGGAAGGAAAGTTAGGATCCCTCCCATTTTCCCATGAGAGTAGACATTACCCAGCATGCCACCCCCAAGCAGCTTCCAAATTCCTTAGCTAAATTTGCATTGGAAAACAGGATTGGGATGAGGGAAATAGTTTAAGAGTTACTCAAACCCTCCAGCTTCCTACAGTTGACAAAGGAGTTGAGGGATAGTTTTCCTCTCTTCCCTACACCCAACTTCCCTACACCCATAGGCTGGGCAGACAGAAAGGGAAGGCCAGGCAGCTGCTCTCATCAGGGACCCATGCAGACCTGTTAGACAGACATAGTAGGTGAGAGAAGGCCGAGCTGGAGGCCAGGAAAGTTCTTTAGGCTCCTAGGAGAAGCAGGGGCCTGGGATCAAGGAAGAGCAGAAAGCAACGCGGTAACAAACATTGGAAAGCAAGCCTTTGAGCCCCTCAAAACTTACGGACCACCCTCTACCACAACCCAGCTCACCAAGTGCTAACCAGAGGGGCCCCTGTGGGTCTCAGGCCAGTCAAGGACAGAGCTTGATGCGGGTGCCCTTGGAGAGCACCCGGAAGAAAGGGAAGACACGCTCGCCCAGGAAGGCAGCTGAGAAGGTGTGCACGTGAACCAGAGTCTCTGCATTGTAGAATCCCAAGCGCCCAGCCTCATAGTCCAAGTATACACCAAACCGCCGTGGTTTCTCACTTGGGCTCAGCAGCGTCTGCTCTGTTGAACTCAGTGCCTGGTAGCGTTTGCCATTGATGCCCACACACCACACTTCACGCTGCAGAAGAGGCTGCTGGGGCAGGTGGAGGCGGCGGCGGCGATGGTGATGGCGAGAGGAGCTGGCATCCCCACTGCCCACAGAGGGCCCCCCAGAGCCCACCTTCTCTTTGTGATGAGTTGATTCACGGGCAGCGCCTACTGCCCAGCCCCGCCGCCCACCCACCTCTACCTCCCAGTAGTGCCGGCCAGAACGAAAGCCCTGGGCCCCCAGTACACAGTAGTCAGCTGAGAAGTGCTTGGGATGGTGGGCAACCTCCTGTCTCCGCTCTGCCAAGCGGACACCACGGCGGTCAGGAGACAACATCAAGGCAGGATGAGCTGTATCAGGGTCCAAGGTCAGGTCCACTTGAAAGAATGAAGGAAAAATATGCTAGTTAGAAAATCAACTCCTCCATCAACTGCCAAGTCTACATGTGTCTCCTTACCTGCAGCTCACCACCCTCCTCCAAACCAGCTCTCCTCCATACCCAACCACAAAAAGATTCTTGTTGGTTCCATTTCTCTCATCTTTCTCCCAAGACACCTGGCAGCTCTTCCATCTGGTCCTTGCTCTTCACATCACACCAGAGGTAAAAATCTATCTGGACTAGGACTTTGGCATTCAAACCCTAGAAATGCCCACCTGTATCTTGCTTCAGCACAGCACCTCATGCTTTCCCTGGGCCCCAAAATTCCTTCAGCTCCAAACTCAAGTCAGGGGAAAAGCAAAGATGATAGAGATGGCCTCCCTACCTCGAGCAGCCTGACAGAACATCCGGCTCATTTTCCTCACAATGGCATCTGTCAGGAAGTCATGGCTGTGGGGTTGGCACGGGTCAGGGGACCAGGCCTCTGGGAGCTGCAGCTGCACTTCTTCACACCTGGAGGAAGGGGACCGGGAAGGGGGTGGGACCATGACATTCCCAGAGGAAAGAGCAAAAGCTTAGGGAAGAAAAAAGAGGGTCCAGGAGGCAGATATGCAAGTCCTGGGAAAGGAAGGAGAGGGCTGCCCAAGAGGGAGGGATGGGATTCAGATGCTATTGGGTCACAAAGGGTAAAGGGTGGAACACACCTATTGAAAGTCTCCTTGATGTCCTGGGAATAACAAAAACAAAGAGGGAGAAAGACACAAAGAGAGAGTCAGCTGCACTGGGATGGCTCCTCATTTCTCCCAGTCTCCAGCCAGAGAAAGTCACATACTAATAATTTACACACAATACTGAACATTAACTCTCTGAAGCCTGCAAAATTCTCTGGTGTTCAGGTTACACTATTACAATTCTTCCCAAGGAGGAACAAACTCAAGAAAGGTTATCAAGAAAAGTATCTGGTAAGCACTACCTGACAGAGCAGACAGGCAGAGTGCTGAGAATGGAACCAGGGCAAATCCAGATGGGGTGGATAGGGCAGCGCTCACCTGGAGTAGCCGCAGGCCCCCCTGCTGGCTCCGCTCCTGGGCTTCCTCCAGAAGGCGGTTCAGCTGGGCAGCCTGCTCTGAGAGGCGACAGGCTGCTGCTCCTGCCTGCCCCAGCTGAGCTTCATACATCTCTCGGAGCCGCCTCTCCAGACCTGCCTGCTCTTCAGCCAGAAACCGTGTCAGCCGCCCAAACTCGGAGGCTACAGCTGCCAGCTCTGACTTCATCTGGCTCTAGGATAATTCAAAGAAAAACGGTGGCTATCATGGCTTCAGTACATATTAATCTTCATTTCTGCAACTGTTTTCCCTCACCGCAAGGCAAAGGAGCTCTGCATCCTCCAGGATAAAGAAAGACTTTATGACAAGAGGCCTCTGGTACTTGCCTCACCCCTTGGCCTTCTTAGGACCACTCCTATTCCTACTACAGTGGTCTCAAACTCACCAACTGCCTGGGATCTCTATTTTTGTCTGCCTAACTTTGACTCATACTTCAAGTTTAACCTTTAAATATTTTCTCAAAGAAGGCTTACCTCCAGATCTGAATCTGGACCACTCCTGCTAAATATAATTTTAATCTTTCATGTCATATACCTCACTTAGATAATGGTTACCCATGGTGGACAGTGTTTGGGGGCGTTCCCCGGTTAAAACAAGCTTGGAAGCAGGAGTGGCATCCACTTCTGTAAACAGCTTGCCTCTGGAAACCCTATGAACCTGGAGAAAGGATGAAGGATGAACGCAAGTTCATAGGGTCGTTATGAGTTGTCTACGACTCGACTACACTTAACAACAAAAACAACCACCACTTCATCCTTAAATTCCATGCTTATGCTGGAGTATCTTTCAGCCACCTTCATCTCACTGTACCATAAGCAATCCATCAACAGGAACTGGGCATATCTATCTTTGTTGTGGTGTCCTCAGACCCTTGCATAATGCCTACCACAGAGTAGGCACTTAGTAAGAAGTTTTTGAAATAGTTATACCACTGAAATTAACTACATCACTATTTGTAGTAACTTTGGAAAAATCATTAGTCTTCCTAGATCAGCAAACTTGTACTGTTAAGGTCTAAAAGCAACATCAACAATATTTATACAGGTATTTCTATAACAAGAGAGGAAATTCCACCCCAGAGCACCCTATTTGCTTGAAGTGGGCCATCTCAAGTGGTAGTCATATTTTTTGCTGATACCATTCATTAGCTGAAAATATTCTTTGGACAAAGAGCAAGGTTCCAGAGTAAAGAGGAAGGTCCTGAATAAGCAAGTGGAGGGGGTACACACACACACATCCACTGAAGTCAGTTTTACTCACTGAATCCCATCCCTCCCTCTTGGGCAGCCCTCTCCTTCCTTTCCCAGGACTTGCATATCTGCCTCCTTACTCACTGACAGATCCTAGAACTCTCTTTTCCTCCTAGAGGCCCCAAAGTCTCAATTTGGGAGGCTGGCCAAAGTCCAGAAGCAGAAACCTTGACTCCTAGACTCAAATTTTTGGTTCAGGGTCCAATGATGACCAAAATCTGTTGCTGTTATTTGCCATCTGTTGCCTGACTCACAGTGACCCTATGTACAATAGCTCTAAACTGTGGTCTATCCTGAGCCAGGCTGTCTCTGACACATCTACCCCCCATTACCCCAGTTACTGTCAATTCACTTATCCATGGTCGTCCTCTCCTGAGCTGTCCCTTAACCCTTCTAAGCATGATGTCCTTCTCCAAGGACTGGTCTGTCCTGGCCATATGCCCAAAGCATGTGAGATGGAGCGTCAAACTCCTTGCCTCTAAAGAGAAGCTTGGTTTTACCCTCTCCAAGATAGACTGGTTTTTATTTTCCTAGTAGTCCATGGTATATTCAATACTCTTCTCCAGCGCCACAACTCAAAGGCATCAATAATTCTTCTGTAATTAAAATGAAATCTTTGGTCACTGTCCAGCTCTCTAATGCATAGCAGGTATCTGTGAAGACCATGACCTGAATCAGGCATACCTTAGTATGATGTTGCTCTTCAGCACTTTGGAGGGATCCCGGAAAACGGCTTTCCCCAGACCAATTAGTCTTTTGCTTTTTTTTTTTTTAGCAAAATAAGTGAAAAGGTTTAATCAAGGTAATAAGGCAGAGGCATAGCTATTGAAAAATAGGCCATGCAAAAGAGTTAAAGTGGAAAAAGGGTTAAAGGATCTTTGTAAAGATAGGTGTGAACCTAAATCTCACAGCACATTGTCTGCATAGAAAAAGAGAGAGAGACTGGAATCCCAAGTGGGCACTGCTTTTAGTTGTCTTTTGATTTCTTGACTGCTAGTGCCAAGAGGGTTGATTGTGGAGCCAAGCAAGCTCAAACTTTTAACAACCTCAAAACACTTACCTAGAAGATGCAATAAAATATTCACAAATTCCTCCTCTCCCCGAAATACTTTGGCTCCCTCCAGAAGGATAGCAAGGTTCCTCAGACCATGTTCCTCTCATGTTCAGACTTCTCTGCCTAATGGCAACACTCCCAATAGGAGTTCGCTAACGGTTGCACCATATAGGATTTGTCTTGCTACCTTCCTGCCCTCCGTGCTACCTTTGATGTGAAGAGCAGCATTAAAGGCAGAACTGTGCGGAACCCAGGCTCTGGGGTTAAAAAGAAATCCCACTCTAGACATGCCAACCAAACTCTCTTCAAGTCAGATCTTGGTTTTCACTACACATAACTCCTGGCCCTTTCAGGTCCACTTCTGAGGACCCTGGAAAACTGTCTTCCCTTTACTCAGTCTTGGCTATCCTCTTCAGAGAAATCAAGTCACACTGTAAGAGTGGACAGCCCTGTATTCCCTTGTCCCACCACTAAACCCTTGCCAAAGACATCTACCTACCTTTAGTTCAGTTACCCGCCTCTCCTCCTTGGCCTTCATCTTCTGCACAGACTCCAAGTGCTTCCTCAGTGGTTCCAAGTGGCCCTGTAGTTTGGCCTAAGAGAATGAAATAAGGAAAGAGACCTGGACTTAGAGAGGCAACTGGTCCTGAAAAGCCTACCAGTCCTATTATCCTCTCAATGGGTTGAAGAAAAAAAGCCTGATCTGTACCTGATGTGTACAGAAGCCCTTGTCAGTGTTCTTTAAAGATGGGACCTCAATGGATGCAGAGCTGCACACTCAAGAGCTGGGTGGATCACTTTCCATTACACACTACTCAGTCTTTCTATAAAATCATTCCTCCCTTTGGATCCTTCCCGCATAGAGGCAATCCTCCTTATGGCCTATTAAGCAGTTATCTCTAAATACATTTCTGATTATTATGAATCATGCTAAAAATTCTTCAATTGTTCTCTACCATTTGGAGAATATGAGGTTCTCATCACCTCTACAATTTTAATTTCACCCACTATACCCACCTCTTCTACAAAGAACCTTTGTTTTGGCTACATTATTCTTCTTAGTATATAATTCCTTTTAATCACATTTCCCCTACAACCCAGACTGCATTTTTCTAATTGGCCCAAGGCATATTTTCCTTTAAGACTATGCTCCCTGACCATGGGACTTCCCTTCCTGACCTGGACCTTTGATTCCATCAAATCTTTACAGTATCAAGTGTGCCTCCCTGACACTGGGCTACTGAGGACAGGGATTCACTTTACTTAATTTCTATGCCACTTTTTAACTATTCTCTCACCCATTCAATAATTTGCTAAAACAAAAACTTCTCCTAAATGTTTAACTTTCACAGAAAATATACAAATGAGATCTGTTTTCTGACAATTTGTCATCAAGTCTTTTTCTTTAAAGGGTTGCTGTTATTGTGTGCCATTGAGTCAGAACCCACTCATAGCTGTTTCAGCAAGTTTTCAGAGGCAGTAAAACACATTCAAGGAGACTGCCTATCTTTCTCCTGCAGAGTAGCTGGTGGATTGGAACAGCATGATTTAGGGTTAGCAGTGCAAATTCTTACCACTAGGCCACCAGAGCTGTTAGAGAAACCAAAATTAGTGAAATAAGTCCGAATTATCTGCCTTTTCTTCTTAATGTCTTCCACTTCTGCCTTTCTCCTTTTTGGGGAAGGAGTAACTCAAACTGGAAATTGGGAGTTTGCACCTAGACTCACTCTTACTTGGATATGAGCAGACACATCAGATAAATCACTTTTCAGTTTCCCAGAACACTTGATGGTGCTTATGCGAAACCTATACTTGAACCAGGAGGCAGTCATCAAAACGGAGAAAGTGAATGCTGCATGGTTAAAATCAGGAAGGGTTCAAGCCAGGGATGTGTCCTATCTCCATACCTTTTCAATCTATATGCAGAACAGATTATCTAGGAGGCTGTGCTCTATGAGAAATGTGGCATCAGGACTGGAAGAAGACTCATCAACAATCTGCATTATACAGATGACAGAACCCTGCTTGCTGAAACTGAGGAGGCTCTGAATCGTTTGCTACAGAAAGTTAAGGACTGCAGTTTTCAATATGAATTGAAGCTCAATATCAAGAAAACAAAGATTCTCACCACTGGGCCAACTGGCAGCATCATGATGGATGGTGAAGAGATCAAGATTGTAAACAGCTTTAGTTTGCTTGGCCCCACAATCTCTTGGCACCAGCAGCCAGGAAATTAAAAGAATTACACTGGGAAAGTGTCAAGAGACCTCTCCAAAGTACTGAAGAGCAATGATGTCACTCTGGAGACTAAGGTACGCCTGATACAGGCCATGGTCTTTGCAATTACTTGCTATGCATCAGAGAGCTGGACAATGACTAGGGATGACAGAAGGAGAACTGATGCTTTTGAGCTGTGGTACTGGAGAAGAGTATTTAATATATCACGGACTGCTAAGAGAACGAACAGGCTCATCCTAGAGAGGGTTAAACCAGGCTGCTGCTTTGAGGCAAGGATTCTGAAACTTTGTCTGACTTACTTTGGACATGTAAGGAGGGACCAGTCCTTAGAGAGGGACATTATACTTGGGAGGCTGAAGGGACAGCGCAGGAGAGGAAGACCCTCTATGAGATGGATTGATTCAGTGACTAGGATAATGGGGATAGGTGTGTCAGAGACAATAAGACTGGCACAGAATAGAGTAGGGTTTAGGTTTAGGGCTGTTGTAGACAGGGTCGCTATGAGTTGCACGTGACTCGATGGCACATACCACCACAATTAAAATAATAATAAATCTAAATCTACTTCATGAAGCACGCACATAGCAGAGTGCCTAACATATAGCAAAATTATCAATTAATATATCTAGTATTCATTAACTAGGTCTTAAGCCCATCTGTGACACCTGATAGCCTGATAATGACCCCAGAACTTAAAAGGTTAATGACCAGTGGGCTCTGGTGGCCTAGTGGCAAGAAGCTGCACTGCAATCCCAGAGGTACACGGTTCAAATCTACTAGATGCTCTGCTGAAAAAGGAGGAATAATTGCCTCCTGTACCAGTCAAAAAGTCTGCTGTTAGGGACTTCTCCAAAGTGCTGAAGAGCAGTGGTGTCCCTCTGGAGACTGCTAGGAAAACAAACAGATTTGTCCTGGAGAGGGTTAAACCGGGTGGCTCCTTGGAGGCAAGGATTCTGAGGCTCCGTCTAACTTACTTTGGACATATTGTGAGGAGAGACCGGTCCTTAGAGAGGGACAGCATGCTTGGGAGGGTGGAGGGACGGCGCAGGAGAGGAAGGCCCTCTATGAGGTGGACTGATTCAGTGACTGGGATAATTGGGATGGGAGTGTCAGAGTCAGTGCAAATGGCACAGGACAGAGCGGAGTTTAGGGCTGCTGTACAGAGAGGGTCGCTATGAGTCGCAGGCGACTCGACGGCACATAACAACAACAACAACAACAACAACCAGTCAGATCCGATTTGACAGTACACACATAAAAAATAATAATAATAATAATAAAAGGTTAATGACCACAAATACTAAAAGCAGGTGCGGTACAGGACAAGTTATTTTTAAAAACATTACAGATGTAATAAGATTACAGTCAATCCATAATACAAAAATAATCAACCATGTAAAAATTGCCTTTTGATATTTTTCTGTCATTTTTACTCCATTAATTCACAATTTAAACTTAAGTGCACTATTTAATACTTTTCTTAAAATGCTAACAAAAAAATTCATAACCAAAAATCTAACCACATTATTGTAACTTTTCCAACATTTTTAACTTTTATAGCTTTGAGTCATTTAAGTGTAATTACTTATTTAATCAAGAAATGTTTCTAGAAAACAACTAGTCATTGTAATGTCTTAAAAGAATACACTATTAATTTATTAAGTTTTGAAATCAGAAAGAAACCCCTCAAAGTAGTATTTAAGGCTTATTTATAGATTCCAAATCATAGTGATCCCATGTAAAGAGCAGAATTATATGCATCACAAGTTTTCAAAGTTGTGACCTTTCAGAAGCAGACAGCCAAATGTATTTCCTGAAATGCTTCTGAGTTCAAATGGCCAACTCTTTGGCTAGCAGATTGCTTAACTGTTTGTAGTACCTAGGAATTTTCTTCAGGGTCCATGATTTTCTAGTAGCTTATTGGAACTAACTAGAAGACAGTGGGTTTTTTGCGACCAATACACTTAATATCCAGTTTCATAAGGTTATTAGAGGAGTCCTTAACAGACCATGGACAGTACACTCCTGTTCCAATTAACAAAGTGACTGCACATGTATGATGGATATAGCAACTAGGACTGAACCGACTGCCACTGAGTTGATTCTGACTAATAGTTACCCTCCAGGCTGTAAATCTTTATGAGAAGAGACTGCCCATCTTTCTCCCTTGGGGGAGCTGATGGATTCAAACTGCTGACCTTTCAGTTAGCAGCAGCACAACATGCAATACTCTATCCCACTCAACTCTCTCACTGAGTTGAAACTAATAGCTGACTCTACCGCAAGTTTCAGAAGTTATACACAAGAGAAGAATGCCCATCCTATTCCTATAGTGGCTGATGGATTTGAATCACAAGTCTTTGGGTCAGTAGTGCAGCTCTTTATCAACTAGGTCACCAGAGGTTGGTATTGGGGAATATAAAAACATGAAGAGGTCATAACCTCCCTTAAGGATACGCAATGAACTCCAAAGTGCTAGGATCTCTGAAGAAATTCTCTTCATTATCAATTAAAAATCTCTAACAATACTTCCCAAAAAACTCCCATAGAAATCATGCCAGTCAGTCAGATTTGACAAGTATTAAGTGATTAGGGGATGGTGGTTTCAGGAGTACACTACTCAGTACTAAGAAGTCCTAGACATGTTACTCTAAATCAGAGATAATAAAAACAATACCTAATACTCAATAAATCATAACTGAGGTGGGAATCAGCACAAAATGTGAAAACACAAATAATAAAGCAAAAAGCACTCCACAAAGGGAGCTCTGGTGGCCTAGTGGCAAGATGCTGCACTACAATTCCAAAGGTAAGCGGTTCAAATCCATCAGATGCTCTGCTGGAGAAGGAGGGGGCAATCTCCTCCTGTACCAGTCAGATCTGATTTGACGGTACATGTAAAAATAATAAAAATTAAAAAAAAAAAAAAAGCACTCCACAGACCACACAGAGTAAGCCTCTAACACCGGTCTTGCTGCTTTCAATCCCTTCCAATTAACAAAGTAATTAGCTTAGCTAGGTAGTACTGTGTGTGGAATGTCATATAATTTCCCTCATCCACCAGGTGCTTCATGGGAGGAAGAAGGACAATCTCTTCCCATGCAATTTACTACCTCTCAAAACCCACTGGAAGGTCAGCTACAGGTTAATTCCAACTCTATGGTACGTATCACCATGTCCAAAAACAGTAAGGATCACTAGTAGGGAAACACAGTGTCACTTAAACAGAATCCAAAGAAGTCACATGTCAGAAAAGTCAAACTAACAAAAAACATTAAAGATGGTGACAGCTGCTAGCTATTATATAGTGAGGACAGGAGGGAATTCATTAAGTTCATCACTAGGAACTGATGGTCCTACATATAACACACTTCTACCTTCCATTCTATAAAATGGGGATGAAAACATCAACAATCACAGAGAACTTTCTTACATTTTAAATGAGATAGTACAGAAAATATGCTTAGTACACTATTTGGTATAAAAATACTGAATAAATATTGACTTAATCTTGACTCAATGGCACTTAACAATCCTGCAGAGATTGATTAGTGTTTAAAAATTCAGAAATTTACCCAAGATTTGACAGAGAATAAAGACAGAACCAGGTCATCTGACTATAAAAGTCTTTTTTTTTTCTTTCTCCTTTAAGTTGTTAAGAGGAGTAAGAAGTTCTGGCCAATATTATCAGACTTATACAGATTCAAAAAGAGTTCTAAGAACTAAACCGGACCTTAGGGTAAGTGGGGCTTTCCAGTCAAGAGGCAAGTGTGGGGGACATCTGGGTCTGATACTAGTCATTTCTATGCTCATGCTTCAGAGCTTAGGCTCCTTCCATCTTTTGGAGTCTCAAAGACAGAAGCAAAATTTAACCAGCAGGAAAGGAGACTTAAAATACTCGAAGGAAAGGGGAAGTCAGTTGCCTGTAATCTTAACACTCTGGGACAGTAGGAAGTGTGAAGCAGCAGTGGCCTGCTGCCTGGATCAGACATTACCTGCTTTATCATCCCTTGAGGAAGCCAGTTTTTCCTGGTTGTCTTTGCAGTATCTTTGAACAGAATTCTTCTCACTACCTAGCCCTGGTACCAGTTTAGATAAGGTGACTCAGCTCACCTGTACATAGGGTTCTTTAGGGGAAAAGATACTCTGCCTTTTGCCAAGAGTCATTTTTGCCTGGCTCCCCTTACTTTCTCTCCACCCCGACTAAACTCCCAATCTTCTCTTTTTACTTTTCTCACCTTGTACTCCTGCACCACCTCCTCCAAAGGCACCACACTGTGCTGTTTGTGGCTCCTGGATTCTCGACACACTACACAGATGGCCTCTTCATCCACTTCACAGAAGAGTTTCAGAGCTTCTTGGTGTTTGGGGCAGATGCCTTGCTCATTCCCACGGCTCGCTCTACCAGGGGCTGGGTGCATCTGCCGAATCACTTGGACCATGTTGGCCAGCTGCAGGTTGGGGCGAAAGCTCCGACGGGGAAAGCTCTTTCGGCACTGCGGACAGGTGAAGCACCTCCGAGGGGCAGGAGGCGGTGGCAGTGGGGTGACGGGATCTCGCTCCTCTTCCTCGTCCTCTTCCAGCACTTCTTCTTCATCCTCTTCATCCTCCCCTCCCAGGTCTTCCTCCATATCCTCGAAATAGTAATCCAGATCCTCCTCCATTTCCTCGAAATAGTAATCCAGGTCTTCTTCTTCGTCCTCTTCTTCCCATACATAGTCCAAGTTGTCCCAGTTAGACCCGCCCATGCCATTGGTCCAGTCGCCCTCATAGTCTTCGTCCCGCATAGGGGTGTCCCACCCCCCGCCAGCCCCCACTGCCTCCACTTCCTCCTCATCTCCATCCTCCTCTTCTTCCTCCTCCTCCCGATCCAACTCGTCTCTGTCCTCTTCATCCTCCCCGCCCCACAACTGGGTCACACACACTCGGCAGAAGTTGTGCCCGCAGCCGATGGACACGGGGTCTGTGAAGTAATCGAGGCAGATGGCGCACACCGCCTCCTCTCGAAGGGTCTGCACAGGGTTGGGTGTCATGGCAACGGCAGCCATCTTAGCGTCCAGCCAGTTTAGGTGGGGGCCGGGAGGGGGGCGGGGACCCCCTCTTTCCTACGCCCAGACCACCCGGCCCCACCCGAGCTCTGCCTCTCCACACTTCGCCTCAAGCGCAGCTAGAGAAATGTCCTCCCGAGGACCTTCCCCTCCACATAGTTCCCTACTCCCAGACAACAACTGTGTCTCCGCAAAGGAAAAGGAAAAAGGTGAGGTCTAATACCAAGTCCTTCAGGTGGCCATGAGTGCAAATCTACCCCAACGCTCCCTCAGCCTCCCTGTACCCCCACCCCTCTTTGCGTCCTAGTCCCGCCCCCTAAGTTCCGGTCTCTCCGCCAACACTTCCGGTGTCTACGAGTCTCACAGGCTCGTGAGTTCCCTCAGCGATGCTACGCCCTCCTTCTTCCTTTTCCTGACCCTGGGTAACAGGAAACGGAGAGGAGACGCTCTAGCAGGCACTCAGAAACTAGGCAGGAGTTCTAGGATGTCGGAAGTCTTAAGCCTCTATGACAAAAGAACTAGGGAACGTAGAGCAAAAGCTCCGCCCACCCCTATCACCGCTACTGGAGAGAAACTTGGGAGAATAGTAAGAACATTTAGTGATCATCCGCACTTTGGGGTTTTAACCACAGCAGCTGGCTTCACCCACGACTGGACCCCAAGGACAAGCAAGAGCCGTCACTTCCCACAGCTGGTGCCGGAAGCTGAGGGGAGGGGCTTCAAGGAGCATTTCTTGGCTTAGCCCCTTATCAAGTCGAAGTGCTTATTCTGTGGTTCCCTGGGTGATGGGCCAGGGGGAGGAGCCTGAAGAAATTCTGTGGTGGTGGGGCCAGAGGTCAAACTTTGTTTTCTGTGGATTTGATTTTCTTTAGCTTCAGTTTGAAGCTGTGTATGAATAGTTGATGATCTGCTCCAAAATCAGCACTTGATATAGTTTTCATAGCTGATATTGAGCTTTTCCAACGATTTTCCCCCAGAGATGTAATCAGTCTGTTTTCTGTGTAGGCCCTCAGGTAAGGTCCATGTGTATAATCGTTGTTTGTGTTTCTTATAAAAGGTATTTGCAATGAATAAATAATTGATTGTACAGAATTCTATTATTCTGTCTCCAGCCTCATTTCTGTCACCAGTTATATGTTTCCCAACGACTGAACCTTCTTCCTTATTCCCAACTTTGCATTCCAGTTACCCATTGTTACCACTGTATCTTGGTTGCATGCTCGATTAATTTCCGATTGCAACAGTTGGTAGAGCAGCGTCATGATAGATGGAGAAGATATTGATATTGTTAACAGCTTCAGGCTCCACAGTTAGCACTCTTGGTACCAATAGCTAGGAAATCAAAAGACAAATTGCACTGGGAAAATCTGCTGTCAAGGATCTCTCCAGAGTACTGAAGAGCAATGATGTAAGTCTAGAGACTAAGGTGCAGCTGATCCAGGCCATGGTCTTTGCAATTACTTGCTATGCATCAGAGAGCTGGACAATGACTAACAGAAGAAGGATCACTGAGTTGTGGTGCTGGAGAAGAGAATTTGATATACCATGGATTGCTAAGAGAACCAACAGATCCATCCTTAAGAGGGTGAAACCAGGCTGCTCGTTGGCGGCAAAGATTTTGAAACTCTAGCATACTTTGGTTGGGCCAATGGGCAGTATCGTGATGGATGGTGAAGAGATTGAGATTGTTAATAGTTTTCATTTGCTTGGCTCTACAGTCAACACTCTTGGCACCAGCATCCAGGAAATCAAAAGACATATTGCAATGGGAAAGTCTGCTGTCTCCAAAGTAAATGATGTCACTCTGGAGACTAAGGTGTGCCTGATACAGTCCATGGTCTTTGCAATCACTTACTATGCATCAGAGAGCTGGACAATGAGTAGGGATGACAGAAGGAGAATTGATGCTTTTTGAGCTGTGGTGTTGGAGAAGAGTATTGGATATACCATGGGCTGCTAGGAGAACAAATAGATTAATCCTGGAGAGGTTTAAACCAGGCTGCTGCTGCTTAGAGGCAAGGATTCTGAAGCTTCATCTGACCTACTTTGGACATGTTGCAAGGTGGGATCAATCCTTGTAGAGGGACATCATGCTTGGGACGTAGAGGGACACCGCAGGAGAGGAAGACCCTCTATGAGATGGATTGATTCAGTGACTGAGGTAATGGGGGTAGGTGTGTCAGAGACAGTGAGATTAGCACATGATAGAGTAGGCTTAGGGCTGTTGTACATAGGGTCGCTATGAATCGCAGGTGACTCGATGACACATGATAACAAACAACAAGCATGCTTTGGGCATGTTGCAAGAGAGGGATATCTTGTTTGGGAGGGTGGAGGAACAGCACAAGAGAGGAAGACCCTGTGTGATATGGATTGACTCAGTGATTGGGGTAATTGGGATAGGTGTGTTGGAGACAATGAAATTGGCTCAAGATAGAGCAGGATTCAGAGCTTTTGTACATATAGGGTAGCTATGCATTGGAGGCACCCTGGCTCTGTCATTGGCATCTTACATGCCCATTTTATAAAGTCCTATCTGACTGGGCCTTTCCCCAGGACTGGCCCCTCCTATCAACATGTCAAAAATATGAGGTCAAGCTTCACCATCCTTGCCTCTGTGGAGCACCCTGGTTGCACTTTGTCCACATAATATTTGTTCTGTCACCAGTACTCTTCCTCCCTGACACAATGCAGTCAGTACAAAGGCATAGATTTGTCTTCTGTCATCCTTAGTCATTATCCAACTTTCCGATGCATCAAAAGACCATGGCTTGATTCAGATGCACTTTGAACTGACGTCATTTCTCCTTAACAGTGGTCCTTGACAACAGATTTACAATGCAGCACGTCTTTGGATTTCTTGACTATTGATGTCACGTGTGTTGCTTGTGGATCCAAGCAAGATGAAATTGTTCATAGCTTCAATCTTTTCTTTATAGTAATGTTGTCTGTTGGCCCAGTGGTGAGAATTTTTGTCTTGAAGTTGAAATGTAAACCACCTGGAAGGCTGTAGTCTTTGATCCTCTGCAGCAAGCATTTCAAGTCCTCTTTCAGCAAACAAGATTGTATCATTCGCATAACACAGGGTGTTGAAGAGTCTTCCTCACATCCTGATGCCAAATTCTCCTTCATAAAGTTCAGTCTCTTAAATTACTTGCTTGGTGTACAGATTGGATAGCTATGGAAAATTACATGCTTGGAAGGCTCAGTGACAGAGCAGAAGACTGCCAATGAGATGGATTGAAATAGTAACAATGGCCTCAAGTATATCAAAGATGATGAGGACGGCACAGGATAGGGCAAGGTTCAGATCCATTGTTCACAAAATTGCTGTGAGTTGTAGTTTACTCAACAGCACCAGTGTCACAACAGTGGCATCTGGTTGGGCACTGTAGCCTCAAGTGGATGGTCTTTCCTAACTCCTGTTCCTAAAGGAAGGTAACAAATCACTACATCTACACAATGTAAAAGATACCATGCTGCGAAAGGTAGGGCATCAGCAAAAGAGAGAGGATGACCCTTAAGGAGCTGTATTCATTCACACAGTGACAGAGATCGTGAGGCGAGCACAGAAAAGACAAGATTCCAAGCTGTTTGCAGGGTTGCTATGAATTGTAGTTGTCTCAACGACACCTAACAGCAACAACAGTAATGAATATCACACACGCGTACTGATTTCTAGTGATTCTGAATTTTGGCGACCCTATACGACTGAGAACTCCAAGGGTTTCCAAAACATTAAGTCTTTGGAGAAACCAACAGCCATACTTCTTGTTTTGCCGAGTGACTAGTGAATTACCTTTTGATCCTTCTCTAAACAGTACAGCCTTGGAAACCACATAGGATAGATCTCTTCCTTGTAGGTAGTAATGGGTGGGATGATGTATGTGCAGAATTCTCCCTGAGTGCGCGGAGTGGAGGAGGGCTAACGCTGGTCATCCAGAATCAACCCTACTTGTAGTGAACTTCCGAAAAAGATGGGACAGGTTCACTAAGGGGCTTGTCCAATGCGCCAAAGTCACAAATTTGTCTTTTCGTAGAGTGTGCTCTGATGTGGGGTTGAGTAGGCGCGAGTCCAGGAAGCACTGGCTTCTACTCTGGGTGAAATCAGACCACACGGTCTGAAACAGCTGAATGCACACAGCACAAAGAAAAGGACTTTACTTGAGTTTAGCGTCTTCTGTCTCTGCTTTCCATAGATTGAGGATTGTGCCAAGCAGGCATTCGTCTAGTAAGTTTCCGTAGTGTAGTGGTTATCACGTTCGCCTCACACGCGAAAGGTCCCCGGTTCGAAACCGGGCGGAAACATGTTTTTTTTTT